CATTTTCCAGGATGTTCTGTGGAACTTAACATGTCTGGTATGTGTTAAATATATTATCTTATGGCAAGCAAACTGCTCTGTTTTTTACCCCTCTTTTTCTTAGCTAGAGACACCTTTTGAAAAACTTTCATGCAGTCATGTACTAGTGGAAGATCTTTGGGAATTTCAAAGCATCCCTCTGATCATGTATTTATCTCAGGAATGCTGTGTCAGAAATCACAACTCTCCTCATATCTTAAGAATTATCAACTTCCAAGCAATAGCTGGAAAGTTTAGAGTAACAGCTACATGAGTGAAACCTTGCTGAAAGACTGCCAGGTTGTGGGCTTTTGTGCACAGAAAGGTGTTTGTGTTCATTCCCATGCCAAAATTCTTGCTCTTATCTAATTTGAAGATCCTCTGTGGTGATTAGTGGATGTCAGGGACTTATCTTGATAAAGTTCAAGGGCTGGTCTGGCTTTTCAACTGGATCCTTAGGGACTAAAGTGGTAAGGTAAATGCTCTTTTCTCCTTTAGTGAATTATTTGCAAGTTAAATAAAATAGCATTTGTGTGAAGGTTTGTGACGTTTGAAACTGATATAATTCTGTAATGGACTGTCTGAACCTTACTGATCTTGAAGACATTGTTGCTATTTGCCTATTGTTAATAAATTAAAAGGAACCATCAAAAGAGAATAGTCTCCCTTGTTCAGGTAAAAAACCAAAACGGTGTTTTTACTTGTGATGTGTGGGACTTTAGGAAAATTACTTTTCTCATATGTAAAATGGGAATGATAATTTGTACTACTAACCTCATGGATTGTTACAAATATAAATGAGATAGTTTACATATTTTTTTAGCATAGTGCCTCACAGATATTAAGTATTCATTAAAGTTAGTGAGTCCATAAAGGAATGAACTACAATAAGTATAATTTTATCTCTTTAATATTTAGTTTTTAGTTGACAGCTTGAAAAACTAGCTTGCATAACTGGTTATTTACTTTCCAAATTCTTTATGCTAAAAAGTTTGAAGTACTTTCTGTTAAAATTCATGGCAGTTATAAAAAGTTCACATAATTGTTTCTTAAACATTAAAAAAGATTTCAATTTTTTTCTTAAGTAGAAACTTAAGCTGTAGCCTGAGAAAGGTGCCAGGAATATCCCCTAGAACATTGCCTAGGATGTAGGCTCTCGAAGTTTTGTCAAGTGGGTGTTGTATTTTCTTTGTGATTCTTATAAAATGATAATGTGAAATTCTTAGTTTCTGCATGATCACTCTTAAGGCCTGGTAAGTTAAAGTTCCTGGATTATTTTTGTAAACTAGGACATGCATTACTAAATTAGATTTACACTTATATACAGCAAGATAAACATGGTTGGAGTTAAACATCTCCTCTGTTGAAGATTTTAGTCATTTATATTGAAACTTTATAATAATAATGAAAATGGTTGGTAAAGAGTATGAAAATATCCCAAAATTTTCCTGCTGCCTAATGTCCTTTTAATTGAATCATTGCGATTTTAGGTTTTAGACAAACCTAGGTTGCAGGGCAATTCTTCCATTTATTTTGGTAAGTTACTTTACCTTTCTGAGCTTTACTTTTTAAATTTTTTAAATGGAAGTAATATCTACCTTAGGATTGTTTTGAGAATTGAATAATCATTCTTGGCATATTGTCAGTACTTAATAAATGATAGCTGCTGTTAGAATTTATAATTTCATATTACATAACAAGATTTTGTGGGAGCACAAAGAATAATACATTATGAACTTTGATTTGGGGAGCTTGGGGAGGCTTACCTTTGAGCAAGGTTTTGAAAGGTAAAAGGGAGGTTTGCTGTTAAGCAGGACTGAGAGGAAGACATCTCGGCTGAGGAAGAGAATATACAAAGGGTTGGAATTTTGAAATGATACAACATGCTTAGGGAACTATAAGACCATGTTACAGAAGTTTGTGAGGAATGCTGGGTTAAAAGTAAATTTATGTAGGAAGCCATACTTTAGATGTATTATTCCTGAGAATATGCCAAAGATCTTGAACAATAAATGTTTACTGAACTGAATAAAAGAATGGGTATTATTCATGGCTGAAAGCATTATTAACAGCAAGAGACTAAAGAATTAGAAATGAAGTCAAGTTCTTTTGCTGTGTTTAATTAACCATGTCTTCTTGCATAGATAGGGATTGTGCATATATGGAACATTTGCAATAAATTTTTTGTTACCAGATATATGAAAATGTTCAATCATATAGAGAAGTTGAAAGAATTGTGCAGTGAACACTCATAGACCCGTCATATAGATTCAAAAGTCCATTAGCCCTGTTTACTTCATCATGTAATAACTCTCTATATATCCATCAATCAATCTTATTTTTTGATGAATTTCAAAGTGAGTTATAGGCATCTGTTCACTCCTAAACACTTCAGCATGCAGCTCTCTAACTAGAGAACAATATGGTTTTTTAAGGTAAAATTTACATATAATGAAAAGGACAAGTCTTAAACACCATTTGGCACTTGTGTAACACAAAGTCCTCATCAAGATATCATCAGTCTTGAAAGTTTCCCCTTCTGAGCCAGTCCTCATCTCCATTTCCCAGAGGCAGTTACTATTCTGTTTTTTTCCTAGCATGGATTAGTTTTGCTTGTTTTAGAACTTCATGTAAAAAGAAACACAAAGCCTGTGTTCTTTAGTATAAGGTTTCATTCATTCAGCATAATGCTTTTGAGGTTTATTCATGTTGTTATGTTTATCAGTAGTCTGTTTCCTTTTATTGCTGAATAATATTTCATTGCGTAAGCATACTACTATTTTAAAAAGTTAATTTTTCTGCCTAAAGAACATTTGCTGTTTCCAGTTTGGGGCTATTATAAATAAAGCATGTGTGAACATTATTTTGCACATTTTTTGTGGACATACGTTTTCTTGGGGAAATTATCTAGGAGTCGAATTGTTGGGTCATAGGGTAGGTAGGTATATATCTTAAATTTTGATTATAGAAAAAGCAATTTCATTTTTCTAAATATTATTTTCTCTTGCTCCTGTCAGTTCTTACTTATTGTATGAACAAACTAGATTTTGCTGGTTCTTTCTTTTGTGAACAAATATGAACATACATTCTCCATATTTCTCCTTCCCTTCCCCTCAAAAAATAGGTTGCTAGAGGATAGAGATTTTCTTAAGCAATAGTTTATAAATGTTTCCCTAGAGTAGGAAGTATACAAATTACATGTATTGTTTTTTGAATGTACCACCAGCACACATGTACACACACACACACACAGACACACATAGGTCATATCTACTCCCCCGTAAGTCAATAATCTTCATCTGATATAAGCTGCCATGATTTAAGCACACCATTTTGGATTGGGGGCTCAGGTGGCTGTTGCTTCTATTTTTTAGTGTATAGTTAACATTGGCAGTCACCCTTATAATGATGTGACACCAGCTACCCGCAAGTACATTGAATAAGCTATGCCTAGCACAAGAGAACTTGATTTAATTGGCAACAGTGTTTGCCCTCACATGATAGGCACTGAAGTAAAACGGAACCTATTTTGCTTTGTGTTATCTCTTTTTGAAATAACAACAAAAATGTATTTTTAAAATATTTGAATTACATAATTTTTATTTTTGAATGCATTTATTGGGATCAAGTACCTAAGTAACTTTGTTTAGAAATTGAATACTTTAAAGCTATTATGGGAATACTTGCAGCTTGCAGTTACAGTATTGTCAACAAAAGATGTGATTAAATAAATTGAATGTTGAAGTCTTTAGGCTTATGGTTAACACCAGGTAATTAAAAGTAAGCACTGCTGTGGGAGTGCATTATATATCAGCTGTCCTCTTTACCTCATTGACTGGATTTTGCATGTTTATGGAGGTAAATTCAATTAAAAATGCCTTTTAAGTTATGCTTAACAAAGTCTTTTAGTTACTATTTTGGTATAAAGTATTACAGTTTAATTGAAATTGGCATATCATAAATACCTGTGTTTGAATAATACACAAGATGAACAACTTTGATTATTTGACATTTTTGCATCTACTGTTTATTCCTCCTATGCATTGTTTTTCCATATGATATTACTGAAGGATATACTCTCTGGGGTTTAAAAAAGAAAAACTTCAGTTGTATACATGTTAGCAAATTGTTTATATCTCCATTTTTTTTTTATTTTACCTTATAAGGTTTCTAAGGTTTTATGATTTCAAATTAGTAATGCTTTAAAATCCTTGTAGAAACATGGTGAGTTTTCTGCTTCAATTCTGAGGTTAAGAAAAAGTTACTTTTCTACTTGAGTGCCAACATTTCTTTTTTTATATACTTTTCATTATATTTTATTTGTTAGATAATTAAAGATGATTCTAAATTTAAAAAATACTGTAGTGAATATGTTTAAATGTTAAAATAAATTGTTCTATTTCCATAGGACATTGTTCTAAAAAAATTGAAACACAGATAATTATGAATAGCATTATAGATATTTCATGTTGGGAGAAAATTCTAAATTGTACATCCAAATAGAAATAAGAAAGAAAATAAGGGACTGGGCGTGGTGGCTCATGTCTGTAATCCCTGCCCTTTGGGTGGCTGTAGTGGGAGGATTGCTTAAGCCCAGGAATTTGAGATCTGCCTGGGCAATATAGTGAGACCCCATCTCTAAATAAAATAAAATAGAATAAAATAAAATAAAAAAGTAACCAGACATGGTGGTGTATGCATGTAGTCCTACCTACTAGAAAGGCTGAGGCAGGAGGATCACTTGAGTCCAGGAGTTCAAGTCTGCAGTGAGCTGTGATTGCACCATTGCATTCCAGTCTGGGTGACAGAATGAGATCCTATCTCAAAGCAAAACAAAACAAAACAAACAAACAAACAAACAAAACCCAAACCAGAATGAGTTAGCTACCTGGTTTCTATTTCAAAATTCAGAAATTCATGTAAGTAATGCAAGTGATCATTTGTGTTTTTCAATCTGTTTCTTTTTTTTTTTTTTATTACAGAAGTGTCATCATTGCAACAAAAAAATCAACAGTCTTACCTTCTACACTTACCACAAGTATACCTACCAACACTGTCAGTGTGGTTTCTTCAGTAGATTCAGCTCAAGCCTCAGATGTGGGAGGAGAATCACCAGGTGAGTTAGTTAAAATCAATGATTTCTACAAAAAAGTTTTTAGATCTAAAATTTTAGCAAAGTGTAGGATTTTGATAAAGTTAAGTTTTGTTGGGCACATTAGAAACCTTTGTGCTTTTATATTTTTATTTTCTGAATAAATTTGATTAAAATTAAATTAAGTCAGGGATTTCAGCATTTTCTCCACTGAAACCTGTTAGTGTGTGATGGATTAGTTGCTACTGGTTGGGTGGATTATAAAAATAGTTTTTTCCTTTCCCTGTACTTGAGAAGATGTATATAGATAGTGGTTTAAATAAGAAAGTCTTGATTGTATGTAGTCTTTTAATCTGGTTATTGATTGTCAAATGTTTATATAGTATGTACTACATTGTTTTCTTTTGCATATTTTTCTGAAATTAGAGGATTGGAAAGGGAATGCTACTCTGAAATACAGCATCATTCTGGTCATACTAGTTCAGCAACTCTAATGGCAATTTTATTTTTGTCCATCTCTTCTTTTACATTCCTTCCAAGTACAAAAGCATATGTACGGATGCAGGATCCTAATTCCCTATACGTTAATGGGAAGCTTGGTGGTGATATTAGGTAAACTTAAAAAAATGTGCCGTTTAAAATGACCAAGTTAGGCCGCCAGGCACAGTGGCTCACGCCTGTAGTCCTAGCACTCTGGGACGCCAAGGTGAGAAGATTGCTTGAGTTCATTAGCTCGGGACCAGCCTGAGCAAGAGTGAGACCCCGCCTCTACAAAAAATAGAAAAATTGGCTGGGCATCATGGTGCATGGCTGTGGTCCTAGCTACTCAGGAGGCTGAGGCAGGAGGATTGCTTGAGCCCAGGATTTTGAGGTTGCAGTGAGTTATAATGACACCACTGCACTCTAGCCCAGGTGACAGACGAAGACACTGTCTCAAAAAAAAGAAGTTAGGACACAGGGGATGTTATTTTGTATCAGTAGTATTTTTCCAGATCTTGTGCTGTTTCATAAAAAATTAATAAGGTTTTATTATTAATAATAAAAAGCAAAATAGGGTATCGTATCCCTAAAAGGATTCATGTGAGTCTAGAAAGAGATTAATGAAAAATTAAGGAATTTTGAAGGAAAGACTTGGTGGATTGTGTTAAGATCAGAAATAATGCTTTTATTTCTTCTTTTGGGACATCTCAGACAAGGTTTTACCTTCTATTCTGCTGTTCTACCTTTATTTGGCAAACTAGTATATTTTGGAGAGTTTTGCTCCAAACTTGATATTGCTATTTGTCAGTAGTTAGGGACTTTTCTTTTTCCTTGTTGTGTACTACATAATCATGTATCCCAGAAACAAATACTATGATTGTTTATTTCTTTTGTCTTCCTTGTTTTTTTCACTATTATTTCACTTGAGTTAACAAAAATAATTTTTTCCAAAGTTTAACTGTGATTAATTTCTTACAAATTTTATAGTGTTTAGTGATAAGACAAAATGTTCACAGTAGGTTAAGTAAAAAAAATGTTATATATAATTCTTTACACACCATATAATTATAACTATATAAGGTATATACTAGTTTACTGTGAAGTTACTTGATTATCTCTGTGTAGTTGGACTACTGGCAATTTTGATTTTCAAAATTTACTTTTAGTATCTTTTCCAAAATTTCATCAGTAGTCTTGTATTATTTTTATTCTTAGGAAAAAATAATTATTAGATCAGTTTTAGGTTTACAGAGAAACTACAGAGAGTTCTCATATACCTCCTCATCTCCTTCTCTCTGGTTTCCTCTGTTACTAATTTCTTGCAATAGTATGGTACATTTTTTTTTTCATCTGTGGCTTAGTGAGGAATACAGAGGAAAAAGTATAAAAGTCTATCAGATTTTTAATCTTCTTTATTGTTCCATTATACTCTTATTATTATTTTTTTAGAGACAGGATTTCACTGTGTCACCCAGACTGGAGTGCAGTGGTGCCATCATAACTCAGTTGCATTCTTGAACCCCTGGGCTTAAGTGATCCTCACACCTCAGCCTCCTGAGTAGCTAGGGCAACAGGCACGTGCTATCAGCTTGGCTATTTTTTTAATCTTTATTTTTTGTAAAGATGGGATCTCACTGTGTTGCTCAGACTGATCTCAAATTTTTGGACTCAAGTGGTCCTCCTGTGTCAGCCTCCCAGGGTGCTGGGATTACAGACAGCTACTGTGCCTGGCCTATTCCATTATACTCTGATGATTCTTTTTTCCTTTGGAAAAGAAATAATTTGGTAATCCATTTGGAGTTGGATATGCAGATTCCTGCTCCTCCATCCCCCTCCAAAGTCCTGTTTTAAAAAGTCAACTATGGTTTTTCTAGACTAGCCTCTTTTGGAAAAAAATACAATAGTTATTGATGTCTGTGAACCTTTTTCTTGCCATCTTTTTAACTCAGTGATAGTGAATTTCTCAGTAACTTCTCAGAGCAAATGCAATAATTTCAGCAGTTCAGAGTTAACTGAGTAGAATATTTTCCTCTTATTTTGAATATGCTGCTCTTGAATTTCAGTTTATGGGGCACAGTAAATAGGACACTTTTGCTTTTAAGTATATTCTTCAAAATTTAAATCATGGAGTTTTCAGAAGAGGTAAGTAGCAGAGAGAAAGCTGAGACATATGGGTGATATTTAACATGAAACAGTATTATACATTTCTTTTTGAAGCCATTGTACTTTTTCCAGTAAATCTATTGTAAAAAAAAAAAAGTACTAACCCTGAAAAACTGTGTGCAGAATTACAAAATAATTTGCTGTCGTGAAGACTATTGTATTTGTTGGTGAAATGTACAAAACCCTGTGTTATTGATCTAGCTTATAATATAACTTATTTCCCTATTATTTCAATTTTGTATAATGCATCATGGTGATGTTTCTCAAATAGTTACCAATTTTTTCCATTTTTAGGTGGAATTTTCAGTTATTTTCTATTCCTCCCTAAGCTCTCTCTTTTTTTTTTTTTTTAATAGTTTATTCCTTTTTCAATCATTCCAAGTCCTCTTTGTGATGATGGTCTTTGTTTTTATTATTTGTTTCGGTTTCCACATCCGATTTTTAGTTTCCTCATCCTCTTGCGCTATGCTCTTGTCACTATCATATGGTTTCTCCATTTCAATTTATTACTTCTATTCCATTCTGTTAATTGATGCCATGATAAGAAAATCTAACCTAATCTAGTGTTTTTAGTTTTCCTACTTCTTACTTTTACATGCTTTTGCTTACCATACTTGCCCTTGTACCTTGTTAAGTACTCTTTTCACTTGAAATTCAACCCCCCTTCCCCCAAATAAAGAGTTGTCTCTCCCTGGTCAATATTTTTAACTGATAGATTTTTGTTTTCTTTTTGCTGAGTCTCTAGATTTAAGTTATCTGCTATTTAAAAAACTGATAAATATACAGAGGGTCTCCAACTTTGCGATTTTTCAACTTTACAGTGGTGTGAAAGCAATACACATTCAGTGGAAACTGTACTTCAGGTACCTGTACAGCCATTCTGTTTTTCATTTCCAATAGAGTATTCAATAAATTACATGAGACATCCACCACCTTGTTATAAAATAGGCTTTATGTTAGATGATTTTGTTCAACTGTGTACTAATTTAATTGTTGTAAGCATGACTTATGATACAGATACTCCTTGGCTGACATAGGGCTGCATCATGATAAACCCGTTGTAAGTTGAAAATATCTTAAGTTGAAAATGCATTTAATGCATCTGTCCTACTGAACATCATAGTTTAGCCTAGCCTACCTTAAACATGCTCAGAGCACTTACTTTAGCCTGCAGTTGAGCAAAACCATCTGTTTTGTTTACTCTCATGATTGTGTGGCCGACTGGCTTCATAATACAAATTGCTAGTTTGGGAAAAGGTCAAAATTCAAGATTTGAATTACAGTTTCTACTGAATACACACTGCTTTTCCACTATTGTAAAGTCAAAAAATGTTGAACCATTATAAAGCGGGGATCATCTGAAATTTTCAACTTATGATTTATATAACCCTATTGTAAGTCAAGCAGCATCTGTATATGTAAATAAATGAATATATATTAAATAAATCAGTATTGAAGTTTATTTTCTTTCTCCTGTTTCAAGCAGGATTTGGGAAAAAAAATTGTGGATGAATTGATAGTTGTTGAAATTGTGTGCTGAGCAGGGCAGTTTATTCTTACAGATCTGGGTAAATTAGGTATTAGTCTTGGTTTGTTCTTGGATTATTTTCTTTATATAAAAGCACAGTTAATACCTGTCCCTATTGACCTAAGCCTTTGTGTCTTGTAATTACTACAATTCTGAATTTTTATAATTAGTCAGCAACAAAAAATGAACTGTTCAAATTCAATAACAGATTATTGGTTAGTACAGCATATTAGTGCAAATGGGAATTTCTTTGGAAGAAATCATGTGAATATAAAACATATGAGTTTCATAGCAGAAAAGTTTAGACTGTTTGGAAATTTTACTGTCAGAATGAGATTTCTAAATTTTACATGTGGTACAATCAAAGAGAAACTAAGATTGGATAGCTTCTGATCCCAGGAAAAGAATTAAAGCTTGTCAACTTTATGTGAGGTCAAAGTTTTTTCTATCAAAATATTATCGTGGAAGTAATTTTATAATTTAGCGCAACAATTGAGGATTTGCACAGTTGCATTTTGAAACAGTGTACATTATCAAAACTATAATTAGCACACAAAACTTTTTTAGTATACAAATTTCAAATTTCAGTTTGAATAGTATACCTTGGCATCTGTAGCATTTTATGCAGTAAAAAAACCATAGTCTAATAGCAACAATGGCAGCTCTTCCTTAATAAGTGGTAGAAGATATTCATCAAAGGATAAGGCATACCCTTTTGTATATGTATATTTTCAAAGAAAATAAAAAAGAAAACAGGATTTTAGTGAATATATCAAAATATTTAAATTTTATGTCAGCAAATTTTAAATTAAATTAAATTTTAAATCAGCAGAGATTTAATTTCCTCTGAATA